CTCAGTGAGATCGTGAGGGGGGGCGGGGGCACAGGAGAGGCCTGAATGTGGGGCCTAGATTGTTGTCGTCACCGGTATGAGTAGGAAGTCACAGCCAGAGCTTGGGCGAAGGTGAAGGGGGGAGAGAGAGAGAGAGATTATAATGCCACTCGTGGGAGTGCGCAGACTGTGACATTCTGGCGAAGATGTTTACTCTCTTTTGTGGAAATAGGATAGTATCTATAGGGAAGGAGGAGAAACCGTCAGGGTATTCTGACAGATTTTGTGAACCGGCAATTCCTCATCCTGGTGAAGTCACCTTAACGGAGAAAAAGGAGAGAGGGAAGGAAAGGTTGTTAACGAATGCAAAACAATAACAATGGCAGCAGCTGTAGCAGAAGTGGGAACGGTTTAACAGATACTAACATGGAATCCGCAGCGGCGTTAAAGCAGGCAATAAGGGAGGGGCATCTCGTAGCATACTACACTCATCCATACCAGCTACCAGTCGGATGCGGCACGACGGAGCAAGCACAGAGCCAACTTCCTCATGGTGAAGCAGTTGCTGCACCAGGTGATTTTTCTTTCCTACCGTTTCCGGCGTATTGTGGCTTGACAACAGTCGATAAGGTGCTCTACAAGCATCATTTGAGTCATGACGTCGTCTCCTAAATCCTTATTGTTTGAGGGAGGAATGTGGGTTCTGTAAATTGAAGTGGCCAGCGGTGCTCCTCGGTGTGAAGTTGATGGCTCCCCATCCCTGCAATGACTGTGCCTATTACTTCTTTGCCCTCATACAACACTCTTCTTATTTGAATAAGTGAGTAGAGTTGTTGTTGTTGTTGTTGTTTTATACAGGTTGTGAATGACACGAAAAATAGAAGGGAGAGGCGCATTTATTGACGGTGATGGGGGCCGCGGAACGTCACTCGAGGCCGCCCCACAGCGTGAGGTGGAGGTGACTGTGTACGACAAGGTGCTTGACGAGATGCGCGTGTTTCGCTGCGATCTTCATCTACTGGAGACTTCGATGGCCTACTTTTCGCCCATTATCCGGCGGTATCTGGGGGAAGAAGAGGAAAAAGAGAGGGCAAAGAAAGCGTCTGTGGACGGAGCCGAAGTTGGGGATGATGCTGTTGCTGCTGGTATTTCCAGTGTTGCCTCTGGAAAGGGGGGGAGCGGCACGGTGAAGAGCCAAGAGGAAGGAGGATCCTCTAAGTGCAAACGGCCTGTGGTACGGTCACCCATTCCTTTGCGTGTCAACTGCGACATGGGAATATTTGCCTGGCTGATGTCGTACGTGGAGGGGAAGCAGCGCCCCTTTACGCCAGAGAACGCCGTATCCATTGCACTCTCCTCAAATTTTTTGCTCATGACGCAGCTTGTTGACTTGCCCCTTCAGTACATCAAGGATCACCTCGTGCAGGTGATGCTCTCTGGAGTGAACATGGAGTGCCTGACGGGGGAGCTGCTGGCGCGGCTGTCTAGTATGTTGTCGGAGGGTGACCTTGCGCGGGCCTTTTTGAAACTCTTCGAGTGGCGGGTAGAAGACTCACCGAACCGGCGCTTCCTGACAGCACTGCTTCGGCACATGGTGTGCGATCGGTTTGGACAAGGACGTGCGATTGGTCTGCGTTGGTGCCGCTACTGTGGAGTTCTCTTTGACGAGCAGGAACTTAAGCGTCTGCAGCGAAGTGGAAAGAGTGTGAGACCGGTAATATGCCCGAGACTCACCAAAAACTCCATTGGTACCCGTGGTGAGATTCTTACCACGCATGTTTCCTCGCAGCATCCAGTCGATCTCGCATTCCCGTCGCTCTCATGGAGCGATGAACACGTTGAGCGTTGGGCATGGCGTATCATTGGAGCAACTTGCTTTTTCTTATGCCGCCGCTGCAATCATCATGTTATGCTCATCGACACCGTTGATCATGGGTGCCATGGCGGAATGACAAACTTCGTGTTCGTGGACGGATGCAGCCGTTCAGACGCTGAGGCGCTCCTTGCGTGGTATGAAGTTGCAAAGGATCTCTACGTTGGTGGCTTGAGTTCCATGCACTCCCACCAGACAGACGTTCCGCGTGAGTGCATTCTGGCGCTGTCGCCAACAGGAGAATGGATATGTGACGACGGAAGCGAGCGCGGTGTTCCTGGTTTGTGGTGCACGCACCCGATCGCCGTAGCAAGATCAGTTGATGCAAAAGGGAAAGTAAGTCTAGATAGCCAAAACGGTTTTGAGCGTTGGCTGGTGATGGAGTTGCAACAGGTTATGGAGGAGTTTGGGGATTTGGGCCGTCCGGGCGCTTTGGAAGGCAATACAAGAACCCCAACGCCACCACCGCATTCAATGTCTCCTGTTGGTGGTGTCGGCACTTCCGCGTTGCCGCTGCACTTCGGGGCGCGCAACCGGGGTGAAAGCCTTAACGGGAGTGGGTCCACGCGTCCACCGTTTCGCGGTGGTAGATCAGACGGCCGAGCGGGAATTGCTAACGGAAATGACACCGCAGGCAGGCGGAAGGAAGCCCCCTCCAGCGGCATGCAGCAGCGTGCTAGGGCTGTCGCTGGGTGTGCAAGAGGCGCGGCGTATGAGCACAACCGTAACGGAATCGCCTCACCATCTACTCAATCTGTCCGTGTGCAAGAGGCGCATGCGCCGAAGCTTTCCATGCAGAACCTGCTGTCTCTCAGCTCTGTGCTTGGGAAGCGCAACCCAACCCTTCAACAGGCTACGCAGTAAGTGCATGGTTGTGTTGTTCTCCGTTTACCCTTTGGGCTTCTCCCGGAGCCGTCTGAAGAGGTTTGTGTTATATGTATGAGAGAAGGATCCCCCACAAACAAACAAACAAACCCCCCTACACACACACATACAAAGCTAAAGATGTGTTTTTTTTCTTCTTCTTTTCCTCCCACATCTGATTTGAGAGGATGAAGCCCCTCTCAAGGGGCCTTTCTTCAGGAGAGACGCAATGGATCTGGCATCTCGATCCAGCGACGCTGCACGCAATTGATTTCCTTGCATATCGCCTGGGCCTATTCCATGCCCCTCCGACAAGCACCGGCAGCAATGGCACGGCTTGCTGTGGTGGTGGTGGTGGTGGCGGCAATAGTGGTAAGACTGCGCCTTCAACGAAACAAATGCGGGCTGACCGACTGAACCGCATGGCTAAAAACTCTTCTCTTGTCGTTTCATCCTCACATCCCGCCTCTTCCTTGTGCAATGGGAGACAGGTGTTGCACGAGGAGATACGGCCATATTCATCCTTGGCCATTATGCAGCAAATGATGCGAGAGTGGCAGAAGCGTCAGCGGGCGCTTGTATTGCGTGAAGCGGAGCAGGCCTTAAAGGATGAAGTTGAGTTTTCTACCACGATGCGCCACCCAGAGTCGCTCTTCGCGGATGAGGATGCGGTGATGTTTCGTTTCGGCATGGGTGCCTTTGTGTCACCCGCTGCACCTGGTTTTTCAGGACTCTTCCGGCAGCACTGGAAAGACTTCATGGTCACGGAGATGGTGACGGATGCAAGCGGGTCTGGCATTGCACTTTCACGCGTGCTGGACTGGAGCGTGCCGCCCTTGCCAGCCTCCCTGCTGCACGCGGGCTCAGAAAAGGAGCAAGGAATAGACGTGGAGGGCGGCCCGCACCCATCTTTCTTTAGCGTAAACGTGGAGGAGCGTGTAGCAGAGCTGGTCCAGGGGGACAGCAAGAGTGGAGAAATGAGCCATACTGAAGTGAGCGAGGGCGAAGTCAGTGGTATTGGGGGGCGATTCTATCTTCAGGCCTACCTTCACAAGCAGCACATCGCCCACAGTGTGGCGCTCTCCAATATAGCGCAGACGCTTCGCATGCACCCCACCGGCATTTCGGTTGCCGGCATCAAGGACTACATTGGAGATACCATTCAACGGGTACGATTGAAGAACATCACGCCAGCGGCGGCTCTTGAAGCGAATCGTGTCTTTCGCCGGAAAAAGTGGGCAATGAGGTTGTCAGACTTCTCGTACGAAACAGAGCCGTTGTACCCGGGACGTTTGTTCGGCAATCAGTTCAAGATTGTGCTGCGAGATGTGACTGCACCGCGGGAAGATGTCGAACGTGCAATAAATGATTTTTCTGTTCATGGATTTCCAAATTACTATGGCTGCCAGCGCTTCTCGTGGTTTGGGGGAAAAAATGATGCTGCCTTCGCATTGCTGCATCACAACTGGCTCGCCTTTGCATTCCGTTTCCTTGGGTACACCAGTCGTGAGAGGACGCTGCGTGAGCTTCTGCAGCGTGAAAAAAAGTATCCAAACCCGGTGCAGGACGAGTACCGGCGCAATGTAGTTCGGCGTCTACGAAGCATAGCCATGGATCCCGGCGAGTTGGATGTGGCGCCCTTTCTGTCCTGCCCTGCGCTTGGTGTCCCACCAACCTCAGTCGATGGTGGCCCAATTAGCAAAAAACAGGAGCTGATCATCCTACAGCTGCGTGGGGCATTCCTGGACCTGAGCATGACGAGTCGCCGCTTGACAGCGCAGCGTCTGAGCAGTTATCTGTGGAACCAGGTATTGACACTTCGGCTGCATCATTTTGGATCGAAGGTGTTAGTAGGGGATATGTTGATACCAGAGACTTTCCGTCAGGTCGAAACATCACCGGAGGATCGCAAGGACTGGTACCGTGAAGGTATTCGATTCATCGCAGATGATGCAGAGAAAGACATGCATTCTATTACAGATGTGGTACACGTCGGTTTCTCCTTCAATGGTATTCAGCGGCCAAGGAATGCGACTGGAGAATACTACCTTCAAGTGTGTGAAAAGTATCGCCTGGATTGGTATGCCCAACACACACGAGTTGGGATTCGTGATTTTCTTGAGCCGCCACGACCCATTATCCGCAAGCCCTTAAACTTGAGCTATGACTACAACAAGGCGGAGTCCAAGTTGACGTTAGAGTTTGCCCTGGAGCGTGGATGTTACGCAAATGTTGCCATTACTGAGCTGATGAAGCAACTTCGCTGTGCTGGGTCTGACGATATTCTCACACTCCCGGCCCCCGACGCGATGTGGGATCTCGGCGACCGCGACCCCGGTTACGTGACCACCCTGCAGGATATTTACAGTGGTTTTCAGGACGGCCTGGGCTTCGTGACAGATGAACACGAAGTTCCGCTAGTGGGGGAAGGAAAGGTCTGGGACTGCCACAATGGACCGCTCTTCCTTCCAGAGAGTGCAGACCCCGTGCGTAAGGCGTACCGGTGGGGTGAGCGTCATCTGTTGCGCAATATGGCACGCCGTGCGCGGGATGAGGAGATGATGAAGCGGCGGTTGTTTGAGAAACCGCTGGCGGGGACGCTCAAGGATGGTGAGGTGAGCCAGTACGCTGGGCATACCGTCCCCATGTCCCCCAACACTAGGGCAAAGAAGATCTTCTTCAAGGTCCTCCGACGGCAGCGGCGGTTCCCTGGAGCTCCGAAGGCCGCACCTCGCCTCAAACGTGGGGCGCAGATTCAGAAGAGGACCGCCGTTCAGGCTCCGTTCAAAACAATTGACAGGAACACATGGAATGTCACTTGGTGAGGAGAGGCGGGCGAATGAAGAGTCGGAGGGGTTGCATCGTGCCATTCCCCACAGTCGCGATAGTGAGTGAATGAGTAACGAGGTGAGTAAGCATACACATACACACAAAAAAAAAGGAAAATACAACACTGATGAAATGATTCTTTGGAGTGCAGTGGCAAGAGTTTCGTTTTCTCTCCTCATTTCATTTGGTTTTTGTTTGAATGCAGACCAGTAGTGGTCTCTCCAACAGAGGGGCAAGCAGATCTTCCTCTCCCTTTTAGTGCGCGCGTGTGCCCCATGTCCCGTTATATGGAGGAAACCACAGAGAGACCGCCTCGGCATGATGCCCCGCCGTACGATCCCTCCTTGTGGGAGGGAAAAGACTGCGCTTTTATCACCACCTTGAGAGATGTCTATCACGAGCAACAGCGGACGGAGCGGCAGCTACGCTCCACGGCACCTGCGGAAGGTGAGGTTACTGCTGGTTGGCCGTTACCCACTACTTCGCATACCCAGCTTCCCAGCCGTCCATCGACGTGGTGGAGAAATCTGCTGGTGAAGTTTTTTCCCCGATATAGCGCGCGACAGAGACTGTCCAGCCTCGGTTTTGAGCACATGAAAAACGATGAGCTCGTGAATCGCATGCACTTTGCTCTTCAGGCGGGAGACATGGAACTTTCTGCTCTCATTGCACAAGAACTTGCCCGGCGCCGGGTGCGGTTATATGAAGCGGAAGAATATGCTTCAAACAGAGGTGGGAGAAGTGCGCCTGTTGCCGGCGGTTGGTTTAGCGCCGCCCCAAACCAACAAGCTGGATTTACCAGTGGTGGTGTGGAAAGTGGAAGTGGAGGACATTTGAGTAGGGGGGCTCCAACTCGCAGCAGTATGCATCTCTCCGCAGACTCGTCGTTTATGGTGCCAGAAGTGTTACTTCAGAAGCGCTTTGGTGGTAGTGGTGGCGGCGGCGGCGGACTGCGCTTTTAGAGTGTGAGTTGGGGCATATTGCCGCTTACACCAAATGTGTGGGAGACTAACGACGTTATAAAAAGAAAAAGAAAAAAACAAGGTGAAGGACACACCATGACAGAATCTGGGCGTTGCTCCATATTTCAGTGTGTATTCATTTTTCGTTGTTGTTGTTCCATGCCTACAAACCCCCAATAATTATTTTTCTTTGTGTTTGCCTTTTTGCTTTGCATAGCATACATGTGATATTTCTCTCGTGCCCTTTTGCTGTTTCAACCTGTGGTGATACTAATAATAATCATTGTTGTCAAAAGAGACAACTCTGGGGGAAAGGGGAAGGGGGGTGCAGGAGCCTGGTGCTGGATTTCAACATGGTTGTGCAGGCTGCGGCTGCCACCAATGGCGGCGTGGCGTACGCCATGCCGTTTGAGCCCTACGCAGTGCAGGCCGCGATGATGCAGACGATTACGCGTTGCTTGCATTCATCTTCCCCGCCCATTCCCGTGGCTGCGGTGGAGGTTCCCACCGGATGCGGAAAGACCCTGGCACTCCTGTCGAGTGTCCTGAGCTACCAGGGAGCGCTGGAGAATCTTGCCCCTCACGAGCTGGAGCAGCATCTGCGGGCACGCCGGTGGAAACATGGCGCCGCAGCATCGCTGTCGCCCAGCTGTGAGGCGAAAGACGACATGGAGAAGAATGAATCCAATACAATGGCTGCGAGCAAAAGAAAGGAAAACAACTCTGCAGAGACTGAGGAGGAACAGTGGGGAGTACCAGCGCTTTTCTTCAAGCAGTTTCGCGCTCGCAGCGGCAAGCGTCTTCGTGTTGAAATGGACGGAACGTCTTCGGATCTTCGTCGGCAGCACCAGCCTCCTCCCTGCACCGTCTTCTACGTGACGCGAACGCATGCACAGCTGCAGCAAACAGTTGGCGAGCTACGGAAGCTTAGGGGACTTCACCGTCTCAAAATGAGTATTCTGGGTAGTAGAGAGAGGTACTGCATTAATCACACGGTGCTGAAAGCACGTGCAAACAAGACATTGCCTGTGGGAGGAAATAATCTGGGTGAGGTTTGCGACAAGCTCGTCTCTCTTGGCCAGTGTGAGGCCGTTCACAGCTATGGGTCCCTTGCCAGCAGAGCCATCAGTCAACCACTCTGTCGAGGCCGTACAGACAAGGTGTGGGACATGGAAGACTTGGTCGCAGAGGGCGTGGCGAACCAAAAGTGTCCATATTACGCCGCCAGGGACCTCGTCTTCTTTGCCCACGTTAGTTTCGCCACGTATCAGTATCTACTTGATCCGCTTATTCGACACGAATGCAAAATGGAGGCGGCGCTGAAGAACCATTCGATCATTGTTTTTGATGAAGCGCATAATGTACCGCATGTCTGTCAGGATGCCCTCTCGGTGGAGACACCGGTTGACGTCTTGCGTCTCATTGTGAGTGAAATCGAACCCCTCGTCGCCCCCGCCGTTGGATCCATACCTACGCTGAGTTATCCCCGAGAATTCAAGCTAACGCAGTGGACATTGGTGGAGTTATTCTCTCTGCTTCACGACGTGTTCAACGCTATTGTGAGTTTTGTGTTGAGACAGGAAAGTGCTACTGTGAAGCACCGAGTGCCCCAGCGACGCGCAACCGATGACGATGATGACGACGCAGGGCGAGGTCCAACACTGCCTGGCGAGGTTCTTGCTAACACTATCCGACGATGTATTCTTGAATACCTGCCACTTGCACTTAGAAACCTTGGCGATGCCTGCGACAGCGACGCCTCCAATAAATTCACCGCGTCGACAGAAACTGTGGCGATGTTTCGACAGGTGTATGGTATTGTCATGTCGCTGGGCGTCACCTTCAACCCATTCCAGTTTTCGATATTTGGACTCTCCGTCATGAAAAGGTGGCTTCTTGTTATGCGCTTCATACTGCAGAAACCAGCTGCATTTTCTGTAAGCATTCGTGATGCAATTTCCGTAAATAGTGGTGATTTTTCAGGTGGGAGAATGGCAGAGCCGAGCGCGGCACCGCAGCGGAGTGTGTGCGTGCGCTGCTTAGATGGCAGCCTCGCGTTCCACCACCTGTTGGACGTCGCTCACCGTGTCGTGTTGGCTTCAGGAACACTCGCGCCGTTTCACCAACTTGGGCGAGATCTTGGGCTTCCGCTGACCAACATGGCAACCTACGAGGGTGAGCACGTGGTGGGTGGGCATCAGTATCGATTGTCTGCCCTCACACACATGGCAGACGCCGTACAGCTCCACTGTAACTATGGGAGTCTCATGGATGTGTCTTTTATTAGTCGTCTCGTGAATGTTATCATCACTCTGGTCGATGAGGTGCTTCTGGGTGGGGTGTTGGTTTTTTTGCCGAACTATAGCGTTATGCACGCAGTGGGGTCACGAGTTCTTTCGCACTACCGTAGTGAAACGCGCAGTGGGAAGGCGCGGGTGACACAAGTGTTTGTGGAGACAAGAGCAGCAGCAGAGCTTTCTCCTCTTCTGGATGCATTTCGCACAGCGAGCAGCCGCGGCACTGCTGTCCTTGTTTCCGTCTACCGTGCGAAGGTGAGTGAGGGACTCGACTTCGCAGACAGTATGGCTCGTCTCGTCGTCTGTGTGGGAATCCCGCTTCGGCCGCTTAAGTCGTGGACTGTTGTGGCCCAGCGGCGATACAGTGGTGAGGAGTGGTACGTGACTGACGCGATGCGTGCGGTGAACCAGGCGCTTGGGCGATGCCTACGTCATTGCCACGATTACGGCGCCATGGTGTTGTTGGACGACAGGTACGAGCAGGCAAAACTTCAAGGACTCCTCTCAAAGTGGTGTCGTGGCAGACTGACGGTGCACCACACACCAGTGTCGCTGGTGGAGGGGCTCCAATCTTTCTATCGCATTGCTGCCCAACCCAGTGCTCCTCCAAGGGAGCAGCAGCAGCAGCAGCAGCCTGCATCGGTGGAGGCTAAGCTCTTGCCTGAGGTCATGATGAAAGGTTCCTCAGCACCAAAAGAGAAGCTTCGGACGCAATGTTCGCACGCAGAGGCACTTTTTCCATTTTCTTTGGGAACCGTGAAAAGACCTCGCGTGACAACGTGCACACATGAATGGAGCTGCACCGCGGTGAAACTTCTCTATGAAGCCCACGATGCCGTGGATCAAGTTGCTGCTGCAGAGCTTCGTGAGACCTTGCATATGCTGCGGAATGAGTACCTGGAGCCACCGGGGGATGAATAATTGAGTGTTCACCTGAGGGGGTGGGGGGAGATGCGATTCGTTCAGTCTGAGAAGCGTTGTGGCACAATACGTGTTCCGAGAGTTGGGGCACTTTGCATCGATGGCAAGTGCGAAGTTGTGTTGTGGTGGAGGGGACGCTCCGATGTTTTTTTTTTGTTTCTATTGTTATGTGCGTTGGAAAATAATGAAAGGGTGACTGGAAGTGCTACTGCTTGTATTGTCACTGTTTCCCTTTGTTGTTGTTGTTTTTGTTGCTATCATTACTGTTGTGTGGGTGAATTACGAGTAGCAATGGAGTGGGTTCCATGCGAGGAGCAGGTGGGGACGTTGGGTTGCCGCGAGGGGCACTGTGCAACGTGTCTGCTGGAGAGTGGAACCGGCGAGGCGTGGGTACTGTGCGTCGGGGGATACTGCGACGGCGAGCGTGATGGCGCCGTCATCGCCAGCAAAGTCAGCGCCTTGCCCGCTCTGCGCTGGGTGACTCTCAGCCGCGGTACGGCGTGCTTCGAGTGCGACGGCGCCTCCCTTACGCGTGCCGGCGGCGACGCCGCAGCTGTCGCGTACCTCTTCGGGGGGCTAGACGCTGCGATGGATCGCTGTAACCGTCTCGTGTGTCTCTCTCTGCAGCACGCTGAAGGCGGCCCCACACTCAGCGCGGTGGCGTTGCAAGCTTTGGGAGACATCCCGCCGCCTCGCACGCAACACTCCGCGGGGGGCACAGGGACACATCTCTTTGTATTTGGTGGTGAAACGGATGATGCGGAGCAGAACAATGACCTGTATCAGCTGAGCCTTGACAGACTGGTATGGACATGCGTCAGGGTGGGACCGAAAGTCCCACCGCCTCGTCTCCTTGCGGGACCACTCGTGTTCGTTTCGTCTCAGGTGTGTGTGTTGTATGGAGGAGCGCACTTCATCAATGGCGACATAAAGAGTCTAGATGATGTCTGGGCCCTTGACGTTTCGAGCGGTGGCGAATGGTCGCAGCTGCGGAGCGACGTTGATGATAAGGATGGCGGTGATTCCATCTTCCCGAGATCAAATGGCCATGCAGGCGGTTTGCTCCGCTGTCGAGACGGCATCGCTGCCGTGTTTGTTGGCGGCAAGGATGCTGCGGAGGGTTGTGACAAGGCGAAGCAAGTGGAACTGAGCAACATAGCGGGGGGCCGCTCTTATTTGAGTCTTGTGGAGCCTGCACTGACGGGCAGCACCGAGGGACCGCACTGGCGCTACACACCGGCGGTGGCAGAGACGCGCTGTGGTCTCGTTCTGCTGGGCGGCCAGTGTCGTCATCCACAAGAGGTGACAACATTCCTTCTGCGCCACTCGGATGGTGCTGAGATGTGCTGAAGAGAACGAAGAAAACAGGAACGGTGAATCTGGGGAGGTGAGGAGT